GGATTTAGTTAGAATTTTTGTTGCTCAAATGACTTTCAAACTGATATATATATATATATATATTATATAATATGTGTAGAAAGTTTCTACCAAAAATCATTTGAATTGGTTGAGAAAAATTTGAATTTTGGCAAGAACAAGTCTAGAAAATTCGTGTATCAGTGGTCCCCTGGCAGTGTTCTTTGAACAAACATATCCCTCTGTCCGGACGTTGGAATTGAGTGCCGTCAGCAATATTCAAAACTAGACACCCGTAATTTTCTAACGGTATATATACATCTTCAAATTCGAATTGAGTCATCTATAGTGATTGATCAAAGTTGACTGCCTTGTTCTATTAACCTATCCGAGAGAAAGGTAGAAGCTGTATTTTGTGGATCTATTTTCTCTCACCTAGGAATTGATTTTGAAAAAATTTGTTCTGATGAAATATATCCTTTTGAATCTAGTTTTCAACGCCATTGACCATTCTCAATTCCAAGTTGTATTGAGTGAGATATGGTGCAATTTGTAAACTGCAACAGAGCTGGAAAACCCTACTTTTTGCTGGCCAACTGATTTGGTTGTTTGTGAGATGCTTTGCTTTGAAAATTTTGATGTCAACCAACTATGAACTACTTTTGAAATGTTTTTTGGACTGTGGTTTCACAAATGAACCAAAATGGGACTGATTTCGTGGTGCAAAATGTTTGAAAAGGAAAAGAAAGCAAGAAGACAGATTTGTCTTGAAAATTCCTTAAACTTTGGTAGTTTTGTTAACTACCTTCCGTGTGAATTTTCAAATGAAATTTGATAGAGGAATAGTTCTCATATGGAAGTTGAATTGTACCAATTTTAGTGTTAATCTAAGACCATTTCGATATACAAATGATGTCCCAAAGTTGCTTTTCAAATTTGGAAAACTTTTCCTTTTCTCTTGGCCAAATGGTCAAATCTGATTTGTGAAGTTATATTTCGAAAACCTTGATGCTTATGAAATGTTTTAATTGTCTCCACAGTTCCTTGTTACAAAATCTCAGCTTAAGTTTGCTCCACTTGCGTTGTACAGCTTTACACAACACCAACTTCAGTGCCAGAGCTTCATCTAGGAGTTTGTTACCGAAACTAATGTCTTTCAGTGCCTACCCTATCATCGTATTACTTGCAAAAATCTTAACTATGACTCCAATTCCCACAAATAGCTGCCCTTGCTTCATGGTTGTAGTCATCTCCATTAGCATTTCTCCTTCATTTACATAATTCTGATCCTGTACATCTTGCCTAGGGACTGTTTCTTCTGTGCTCTCTCCCTTCTCCTTGTACTCTAGCTGCAGCTGCTCTAACCATTCAGAATATGCTTTCCCTATAGATTTGAATGGAGGAACAAAGGTAGTGTTCTTGAATTCTCTTTTATTTCTTTCTTTCCACACATGCCACAGGATGTTTGCAGTTAATCTAATGTGTTCCATCCCCTCTGACCTGTGCCTTGCTTCTGAGATTCTTAGCCACCACCTTTTGAAGTCTCCCTACTAATCCTTTGCTCCATCCCACTGAATGGGAGATGCCTTCAATATGTTTTCCGTGTGGGGGCAAGTTAGCAGAAGATGTTCGACTGTTTCCTGTGCTGTTCCACACATCTTACATATCGGATCACCCACCCCCATTCGTCTACTTACTACTGCTTTCACAGGCAGAGCACCTTGAATGCATTTCCAGATGAAGAACTTGATTTTATGTTTGATGTTTAACCTCCACAATGTATTCCACATCTGAGCTAATTGTGAATCACTTGCTACATAGCTAGAGCTAGCTCCTTCCTGGTTGCACCTGCTTCTCTTTCTGTGTTGTTTCATCAAAAATTTATATCCAGAATTGACAATGTATAGCCCTCCCTCCTTTGGTTGCCAATAGAAGCTATCCTCCTTTTTAGATAGGCTCAGAGGAATAGCTAAAATTTTTTGTGCATCATTTCTATTGAAGTATCTGAATATGATGTTTCTGTTCCACCTATGCTGACTAATAAGCTCCTCCACCTTTTCTAGCTCACAATTATTCCCTCGACTAGTAGTTGGCTTCCCTGTATCAGTGTCTGGGATCCACTTGTGACTCCAAATATTTGTACTCCCTCCATTTCCTAACCTTTTGATCATTCCTGCATTGATTAAACTTCTTGCCCCTATGAGTCCTTGCCAAATCCAGGATGCATTTTTAGAGAGGCTACACTATAATATGGACTCCCGTGGAGAATACCTGGTTTTCAACACCTTGCTAACCAACAGATTTGGTTTAGTAAGTATCCTCCAAACTTGCTTTCCTAACAGCGCTTGATTAAAAGCTTCAATATCCTTAAAGCCTAGACCTCCTGCACTTTTTGCCATTGCCAGTCTTTCCTAAGATAGCCAGTGCATTTTGTTCTTACCATTAGCTTCATCCCACCAGAAGTTGGCCATCAATGCACATATATCTTTACACAATCTTCTGGACAGCTTAAAACAAGACATCACGTATGTAGGCATTGCCATTACAACTGTTTTCAGCAACACTTCCTTACTTGCTGGACTCAATAGTTTGTTTTTCCAATTCTGACATCTTTTCCTTATATTGTCTCTCACAAAACAAAAAATCTGCTCTTTAGACCTTGATACTACCATTGGAAGTCCCAGGTATTTGCCTTGCTTAGCCTCTGCCATTCCTCCCAAGGCCAGGCATACCTCCTTCTTCTGCTTATCGTCCATATTTTTGCTAAAAAACACTGCTGATTTGTCTAGATTGACTAATTGTCCCGAGGCATTTTCATATGTTTTCAACACCTCCATAATTTCCACTATCTCATTCTTATTAGCCTTACAAAATATGATAGAATCATCTGCAAAAAACAGATGTGTTAGCACTGGACCGTGTCTGCTGATTTTGAGTCCCTGGATCCTTTTGCTTTCCTCAGCCCTTCTTAGCAAATTGGAGAAGCCCTCTGAACAGATTAGAAACAGGTATGGAGACAAAGGGTCTCCCTGCCTTATCCCTCTTTCTGGTGACACAAAACCTTTAACTTCACCATTACAGTTGAAAGAGTAACTCATAATCTTCAAACAGCTATGAATCCAGTTAATCCATTTAGAGCAGAAACCCATCTTTTCCATCATTTCCAACAAACATTGCCACTCCATCCTATCATAAGCCTTTGCCATGTCCAATTTGATAGCCATGTAGCCCTCTTTTCCTTGTCTTTTATTTTTAAGAAAATGCATGTACTCATGAGCAATGATCACATTATCTAAAATCTATCTTTCTAGGATAAAAGCAGATTGAGTTTTGCTAATGCACAGGTCCAGAACAGAATTTCAGTCTATTAGCCAAAATTTTTGATATGATTTTATAGAGCACACTACATAGATTGATAGGTTTGAAATTTTTCAGATTGGTTGGGTGCAGTATTTTGGGAATAAGGGATATAATAGTGTGGTTAACAGATTTGAGCATGCGATCTGAATAAAAAAAAAGCTTTAATAGCTAGAATGATGTCATTTTTAATAGTATTCCAGAATTTTTGAAAAAACAATGGAGTCATTCCATCTTGTCCTAGAGCTTTTTTTGGATTCATAGAGAATAAAGCATCGTGGATTTCATCCTCCATTACTTCCTTGGTTAACTTATTATTCATCTCCTGAGTAATAGAGTGTGGAATTCCCTCTAAAATTTCTGGCATTTCACCCTTCCCTCCACTCGTAAACAGATCCTTAAAGTACTCAGACAGTTCAGTCACTACCTCCTCTTCATTAGCAGTCCAAGATCCATCCTCTCTTTGTAACCTGTTCAACCTATTACTCACTTTCCTCCTCTTGACAAAAGAGTGAAAATATCTAGTATTTTTATCCCCTTCCCTCAGCCAGCTGATTCTTGACTTCTGGCTCCAGAAAGCTTCTTCCTCCTTGTAAGCATTAGCCAACTATCTTTTGAGATCCTGAAGCTCCTCTTTTTTGTTAGCTAATCCAGCATTTCTAGTCTTCTCAAGATCCTGCTTAAGGCCTTGAATTTTACTCCTAGAGTTAACTTGGACCTTATTTCTCCATTTCAAGAGTTCAATTCTGCAATTCCTAATCTTTCTAGTCACTTTGAACAATTTTGATCCCTGTTCCTCCCTATTCCATGCTTGCTCCACCACTTGCTGAATCCCCTCTTTTTGGAGCCATCTCTTGTCAAAGTAAAACCTCTCTTTTTTTTTTCCTTTCTATCCCTGGATTGGTGTCTAATAAAAGCATCGAGTGGTCAGAAGCTAGAGTCTCAATGTGGTGACACTTAGCACTCTCAAAATCTTGAAACCAATCCATACTACCCAAACATCTATCTAGTCGCTGACGAATTTCCCCTTCATTGTCCCAGTGATTGCTCCAAGTCCAAGGGTGGCCTTCAAAACCAATATCAACTAGTTTGTTTAGCTCAATGAAATGTCTAAAGTCCCAAAAACTTCTCTCCTTCCTAAACGCACCCCCTACTTTTCTTCATTGGACAAAATGTCATTAAAATTTCCAGTGATTAGGTATCTAGATCCCCACAACCTACTTATATCAGTTAGCACCCTCCATTGTTCCTTCATGATCCTTTGATCACAACTAGCATACACTCCAATGAACCACCATGCCGCCTGAGATTCATTACTTTCAATCTTAGCTTCTATAGTAAAAGCAGTAGTGACCACTTCTACAATTTGTGTATCCTTAGTCCAAAGTAAGGCTATCCCCCCTGCTCTGTTCATAGCTTCCACAGTCACATTGTTGTCTAGCCTTAACCTTCTAGTTATTCTATCTATGGCAGTCTTCCTGTTCTTAGTCTCACTCAGGAAAAAAGATATTTGGAGAGGAGAGGTTATTAACCTCCCTCAGCTGGGGAACTGTTAAGGGACACCCACCCCTTGGCAGTTCCACACCACTACTCTCATTTATACCTGGAGGTCCTATTTAGGAAGGATCTCTCCTTCTTTTCCTTAGACCCCTCAAAATACAACTCCTCCAATTGTTTGGTTTTTTTCACTGAAATATATCTTGATGTGCTTCCTCCATCACTTCATCTCTAGGCAGGATCTTCCTCTTCCCCACGTTCACCTGAGTATTTTCATTACCTTGTATCACCTGCAAAGGTCTTTTGGTTCTAGCTGGAGTCTTTAATTTTCTAAAAGTTCTCCTGGTCTGTCTATCAATTAACCCTACCATCTTATTTTCGCCTTGGATTTCCTGGTGATACACTACGAGCTCTGATTCTTTCTCTAAGACCCTTGACTCTTGGAATTGGTTGTGCACTACTTCAACTACATCCTCCTCCATCTCTTCCTCCACATGAGAAAGTTGGAGGTCTTCCCCTTCTTGATTAATTTGAGGTAGCTCTAAGTCCTCCTTGTCGCCTATCACCTGACCCTCCTTCCTATTATGAGAGACTACCTTAAGAGACTCCTCTTGAGTAGAAGGTCCCACAGCCCCCTCCATTCTATTTTCCTCCCCTGCTCTTTCACATTCCTGGTTACTACATCCACTACTGCCAGTGGCCTTGAGGACATCCAACAGACTCTGACTGCTATGCATTTTATTTTTCTCCTGTTCAACCAACTCCCCATTCCTAAAGGACCAGTAACGTCTATCACTATGTTCAGAGACTCTAATATTTTTTTTTCTGAGGGGAGACCATAATATTTCCTGCTCTCATCCAGGGACCGTAATGATTTTCATCAGTACTCCCTCCTAGCAATCTCCTTTCTTTGCAAGACCTTTCACTATGTCCCACAATTCCGCAATTATAACAGAAATCCGGACACCTTTCATATTTGAAAGCTATCCATTTGCCAGTTCCTGCTATTCTGACCACAGTACCTCTAAGAAGAGGTTTAGATAGATCTACCATGACTAAGACCTTCGGATGCCTACCCTCTTTGCCTCCCACCTGAGGGATTACAACATCTCTAACTTCCTTAAATACTCCCCATATCTTTCTTCCAATCTCCCTAGACAGCCAATGCACTGGCAGATTCCAGAGCTGCACCCAGAGAGGTGTCGTCACAAAGGCTTTATAGTCATCTTCTATGCCTTCAGCCCATCTTTTGAGAACAAGCATCTGGTTATTTATTACGCAAGGCCTTCCCTCCACTATTCTATCTTTATCTTTTGAGTTTTGTATGTTAAACTGAAACACATTTGGTCCCAATTCCACCACTGACAAATTCCTGGGATACCCCCAGGCTACAGCCACAAAGTTTTTAATACCAGTGAAATTGATAACTTTTTCTCCTAAAACTCTCCCAATGATACTGTTTTCACAAGCTCTCAGGCCAGTTTGAAAGTCTTCCCCCTCTAGCGTAAGTCCTACCAGCTCATTCTCTTCAAGGGAAAACTTCTGTAATATATTTGACATCTCACCCTCCATGGAAAGGTTCAGCAAATTTAAGATGGTATAACTGAACGAAACAGAACAAAGTGCCTGATGATAGTTACTGATCACAAAAGGTAGATTATCGTTGCTCACTTATACTCTTAAAAAGACAAAGAAAGCAGAGCACTGACTCTCGTTTGTCCAGGTAGTAGCTTATCATAGTTGAAGATTGTGACGCTTGATCTCCCTTTCTTCATGCACTGACTAGCTTAAACGAAGTGTAGCTGCCGTTAGCCTTGAATCTAAAATCCTCTCATTCAATTAATAATAGTATATCATGATCTGGGAGTGCGGGAGAAAGAAGGTTTTGAAAAAGTTTGAAAAGAGCTAACTTCCCACCAAAGAGGTGAGTGAGCTTTTATCCCAAGAGAGAGAATAGCTACTTTAGAGTGAGAAAACCTCTACATTAGAGAGAGGATTTTTGTTGATGGTTTTATTTTTGTGAGTTTGAATTCACTTACATAGATAACTGCTTTGACATTTGTATCTGTTGAGTTTTAAAATCCTTGCATTGTTCAATTGTTGAGAAGAGCACTAACAAGATCCTCCTTTGCTTCTGCACCTTTCTGATTTGCCTCCTCTTTGATTTTCTCCTTATGTTCATTCAGAATATTCTCCAGTATTTTGTCAACCTGTCTGAGTACAATCTCCAACTTATACCTCACAACACATTAGTTGTAGCAACACAACTGAAGGATGCATATCGGCTAAGCTGAACCCTGATGCCAGACTATCGATTTCATCAATTAGATGAATCATGAATGTATCTTTCTGTGTCTTTGTTTCTTTTACCAAATGCTCCGCAGCTTGTGATGTTATAAGTGAGAGAGGAAATGCTTCTGCTTAGATTGATAACCGTTCCCTTTTGCAACAAATCGATTTCATTAGATTTAGGACCTCATCTTCTCTGAGGGATTGGAAAGTTTGCATGCTTTTTGAATTAAGAAGTTCCATAGTAAAAACTTTTCGTAGTTGTCTACCAAAACTTCCGTTGGGAGAAAATATGACATCGTTAAAATTTTAAGAAATAATGTTGAATGCAAGATGATGACAGGGTCTCCAAGAAAATTGGATAACATGCATCCTATAAATCTCTTTGGCCATTTCTGGAGAAGTGGCAACTGTAACGGCCCATCTTCCCTAAGGGCGTACCCCGAGTTTGGCGGACTACCTGTCTAACTCTCGCCACTCATAACTCCAGAAGCAATAATAACAATCTCAATAACCAGAGCAGTAGCAATATCCAGACTTAAAAACATATATACATTCATTAATATTGAATATCCATACAAGCCCATAATGTAATAATAGATTCAAGCTCAAGTCGAAATCGATAAAGCTAAGAAGTTCACTAAAACAATTGATAAAGGACCTAGACAGACACTCTAACCTTCTTCAACTCACTCACCCACATCCTCGTCCCCTGTAAGAAAAACAAATTCATGGGGTGAGTTTTCGCTTCGTGAGGTTCCACAACAACAGGAAAATGAAGTAGCAAGTTGGCAGTTACATATATCACAACCTCGAAGCGAAGAAAATAAACGTTCACAAGATAAGTCAGTAATATTTCAAGTAAACAAGTCAGCTAAACAATTAACATTTTCACGTACAGGGATATGGTTTGCTCTTGTGAGCTAGTTCAGCATCAGCTTGTCTAGGATCCATTGACACTCCATCAACCATGGAAATATAGTAACAAGTCTAGTAGAGCACTGCGTATCTCCAGTTTCCGTCCACCGATCAATCCCCTGTCAGACTTGAAGTCCAAAGATACTAATAGAGGTAATACTTGAGTATACCGATTCTAGAGGACCAAATCCAGTGGAATAAACAATAAACAGTACCCATGGTTCATCAATCTCCTCGACCAAACCCTTACTGGCTCGATTCCACTAACTAGCCGATGGGCTTTAGGATACCAAGCACTCCATATATATGGTGAGATAACATACCCATCCAACTTTCAAGTCAAGTACATGAATATCATTTTACATGTAAACAGTATCAAGTTCCAGTGAGTGTGATCCTTGCTCAACCAATAATAAGTAAAGCAAGTTTAACAAGTCAACCAATCAATGAATTCAAGATAGCATGTCAAGTATACATAATCTCGTCAAGATCACACGTCGATCAATTATCAAGTCCTAACATGCAGTTAGAACACTCACCAACTGATCAAGATTTATTAATGTCAAGCTCAGGCTCTGCTTTTTGGCCACTCTTAAAATCTACGATTAGATATAGTATAGCAAGAAGCCATTAAACTTCTAACATAGGTTTTCCAAAACTCATAATTTTTACTTGTGAAAATCAAAGGAAAAACATGTATATGGTAGCTCAATGCTTCAAACATAGGATGGAGCAAAACTATGTTAAGTATAGCCAAAAATTTTAAAGAAAAGTAACAAAAGTCTTGAGGTTCAAAATTGAAAATTTCCAACTATAAAACATTTTAGAGCAAACATCATTTTCTTCCTTTTAAATCACTTTATTTTGGCTCAAATCCAACCTATATGTGAAAATCAAGGATTTCTTAAGTAACTCGAGCAAAGGTAGATCAAAACCACTCTAAACTTACATCTCAACTCTCACTCTCTTGCTTGACCAACCAAGAAAGAAATTGCAGCAATATAACCCCAAGTGTCTCTAGTTAAGCCTCCAATTTTGTTGTATGGCAAATCCACTATTTTTATGGCAAATCCATTATTCTTGATAGTTAAGCCTCTATTTTTATGGCAAATCCACTATCAATCAACATAACATGTCATAGGGTGTATAGTACATGTTCTAGGCAAAGAAATCTATCAAAATTCCACATATATAAAGGTCTAAACTAAGCTACATATATCTTGCACCAAAGCTGGAAATCGCAATCTAACTTAACAAAAACATGATATCTTCCATAAACATCCTCCCTTTAACTTCTATCACTTCATATATCCCTTTAACTTAAAGTTAAGAGAAGCAAGAGAAGTTTTCTAGCAAATTACCTCAAAACCCTAAGATGGAAAGTAAATCAAGAGCTTCTTCTTCCAAGAACTTCACCAAAAGCTTCCTTCCAAACTTGATTCAAGGTTTGATGGAGTGAATTAATGTTTCTCTCTTGTTTTCTCACCATGTAGACAAGAAATCTAGGCTTGAAGTTGGTTTTTTTCTCCCCCTGTCTCTCTCAATAATTCAGCTAAGGCTAAGCAAGAATGAAGAGAAATTTTAGTGAAATGGAAGTTTAATGATGAAAGAAAGTTGTCTTGATCTTAGTCAAAGTTTATGGGATGATTGACAAATAGCAACCAAACAACTAATGTCTATCTATATTCTGAAATATCTCTCTTCATCCAACTACCATTTAACACCTCTATTCCAACAATTCCCTTTTACACCAAACCCCTTCTAATCCACCAAATTTATAGCACACACTGATAAGTATATATTTAATGTGTTTTATTAGTTAATTTTGGTGTGTTTATTTAGTTTTCTAGCTAATTAACTAAGTTTCTAGTGAAAATATGCATTTTATGGTTTAAGTAGTGAAAATTGCATTTCTATGAATTTTAATGGTGAAAACTTCATGTTTTTATAGGTATAATGATTCAATCATCAAATAGCATGAATTTAGAAGATAATTGAATGATTGAAGATGGTTTAAAGTAATAAAAAGAGAACATGAAGTGCAAGAGAGGAAATGCAATAAAAAATAAAACGAAGCAAGTTTCACAGCTTTGACACGTTGTGGTATTTTGGCTATATTTTGAGCTACAATGATCGGATTGAGGTGATTCTTGAACCATTTTGAAGTAAAAAATAGATCTAAATTTGGTAAGAACATATCGAAGTCCAGTTTAGTCGTTTTCACTGTCAAAAAGTCGAAATACAGAAGTGCATGTTCATGATCGAAAGCTGAAACAAAGCTCTAACCAGTTGATGGTATTTCGGCCATATCTCAGTTTACAGAGCTCCAAATTAGATGATTCTTGAGGTATTGGAAATCTAGTTCAAAGAGCTACAAATTTCATGTTTTACACAAGAGCTATTTCAGCCTATAACATTGAGAAAATATCAGTTGAATTTGGACAAAACTAGAGCACGGATGAATTCTACCAAGAAAAGTGCAAACCTGTAAAGAGTAAAATGGAAGTCAAAATGTGACGCCCCACATCTTCCTAAGGCGGACCAAAGGGTATCCGCGGACGCCTGCCCAACTCTCGCCAGGACTCAAGCAATTCCATTCAATTTAAAACCGAATTAAACACTTCGAAGAGAGCAACATGAATACAATAATGTGGAAGTGTTCAAGCTTAACAAGTCACTTAACGTGTAACCAGTACATCGGGTAATCATAAAACGACTTAAATTCAAAATACACGTCAGGGCCCAAACTTTTCAAGTTTACAATTTCCAAAAGTACAACTCAAACCAGGGCCTAGTCAAAATATATAGCAGGAGTCTTAACAAAAGTACAACGGATGGTTTCTCCATACTTCTCCAAGATTCGGTCCTGTTAAGGAAAACAAAACTATAGGGCGAGCTAAACGCTCGTGAGGCCAAAAACACACATGCAAGCACTTTGTCAAATAACAATCCCAAATTTAATAAATAAAATCATGTCTTTTCAATAATCAATCATTCAAACAGGAAAAGTAATCAGAAACAATTCAAGGATATAGTAGCTCTCAGGAGCTAAGTTCCACTCGCTCTGCCGATGTCATTCGTATATCTTCCCGCGTTGACCCTCCTGTCAACCAGGTTGGTATTTCCATTTCCGTAGATCACCACTTACTTTCCTCCGTCCACCGTACACCTCAAGGGTCCACAAGTCATTTATAAGGCGATACTCCACGAGTATGCCAAGCAAGACCTCTCATTAGGTCGAGCTTATATATATCTCATGGCTCGCCCAAGTTCCCGACCAAACCCATTGCCGGCTCGAGTCCAAGGTCGGCCTATGAGTTTGGGCGTCCCCCATTCATTTGAAAGTCGAGGAGGTTCACTCCAAC